GTGTGTGTGTGTGTGATGTGATGTGTGTGTGTGTGTGTGTGTGTGTGTGATGTGATGTGTGTGTGTGTGTGTGTGTGTGTGATGTGTGTGTGTGTGTGTGTATGATCTCGATATGAGATCGTAAACGTAACTGAAAACATCGGCTGTTAGCATCGACTGTACTTTAGCTAACTAGCCTCCAATAACAATTGATTTGTAGGAACATTTTGTTATTTCTTCTTTCAAACATTTCATCATCTTGCTTTAAATTCAGTTTTTAAAATTTGTACTATTAAAGTGTATTTTCCCTCAAACATCCTGCAAGACCAGAATGACTGAAGATCATTTTTCATCATATTTTTCTTTCTCACTTTTTTACAATTTAAAAAAAGCAAAGATAAAAAGCATCACTTCCTGTTTGACAAAACAAACAGACTTGTTGTGAAGAGGCCGTCGGGTGACTTCCTGCTCAGTGTGAACACCATGACATCATCAGCATACATGAAACAACTCTTGTTATGAACTAGAACACGTGATCAGTCGTGACGGAGACGCACGTGATCAGTCGTGACGGAGACGCACTGCGGCGTTGTGAACCAGAACACGTGATCAGTCGTGACGGAGACGCACTGCAGCGTTGTGAACCAGAACACGTGATCAGTCGTGACGGAGACGCACTGCGGCGTTGTGAACCAGAACACGTGATCAGTCGTGACGGAGACGCACTGCGGCGTTGTGAACCAGAACACGTGATCAGTCGTGACGGAGACACACTGCAGCGTTGTGAACTAGAACACGTGGTCAGTCGTGACGGAGACGCACTGCAGCGTTGTGAACCAGAACACGTGATCAGTCGTGACGGAGACGCACTGCAGCGTTGTGAACTAGAACACGTGGTCAGTCGTGACGGAGACGCACTGCAGCGTTGTGAACCAGAACACGTGATCAGTCGTGACGGAGACACACTGCAGTTTTCGCTCACCGCGGCTGGTCGCTGGAGGATCGCGGGTCGTCTGATGCTCATTCATTTCTGCTTCTTCCGTCACGACTTCATTCAAATCTGTAAGAAGCGGCGACACATGAACCGTCTGAGCCAATGAGTGAAGAGCAGCCGGAGACCAGCAGCGGGAAATGATTTCTGCTGCTTCTCTTCTTCTTCTGTGAAGCTGTTGGACGTTCAGCTCGAGCCAAATGTAATCATGAGCAGATTGAAAAAAACACAAGTTTGCCAGAAAAGTAGTTCAGAGAGGAAGTAATGCAGACGAGAGGATGTAGCAGGTTCACCTGTTTGTTCCTCTTCTGCACCACCTTCACCTCCATCAAACTAAATCTCTCTACAACACAGCTTATAATTGAAATACTCTGTACAGATTACTGCTCAACAACGTTAAGAGTGCACAGCTGAGATCTGAGCTACATGCTAGCATCTGTTCACTAGCGTGTTAGCATGCAAACTACAGCTGAGGCTGATGGGAACATGACTAACGACCACAGTCGGTCATTTCATACGTCTGAGAACCTTTAAACTCTCAGCAGAACGGTGACGTGCTAAGTGAATTGACCACACACACACACACACACACACACACTCAGCTTCTTACCTGCTGACAGGGAGGACGCGTTGGAGAGCTGGTGGCTCACAGAGTCGGTCACTGCAGAGAGGAAGTCTGGAGACGAAGAGGAAGAAGAGGATGAGAGCAGCAGAACATCTGGATCTTCTGTCTCTACATGAATATTCTCCAGAGAGTCCGTTCAACAGCAGAACTGTGTCTGTTACTCTTATATCTACTTATGTATTTCTATTTTCTGCTACTTTTTACTCCTCCTGCACTATACTGTACTTTACTGTACTTCTAACTCCACTGCATGAGCTCCACAGCTCTGCAGATTCATTTCTTTATGTATTGGTCTATTTGTGGGACGGTGCACATTAATAAAACATTCCTATAAATGCACCAGTCACCCTAAAAACAGAATATAAGATTAAATATACAAAGTTATACAGTATTGACCCTTTACAGAGTGTGCAGAAGCAGATTCAATCTATAAATGCTCAACAGACAGATGATGCTGTATTGTTATAGGTTGAGATCAGACTTCAGATTATAAAGTAATAACATGAGCTCCACCAGCTGCAACACATTAATGCATCAATAATCATAATTCAGTTACATGATTGTTTTACTTTCTGTACATCTTGATGGCTAATACTCTCGTACTTGTTTTGAATGCAGGACTTGTACTTGTAGTATTTCTACAGGGTAGTATTACTACTAAAAATCAGAGTACTTATTCCACCTCTGGTCAAAGAATTAATAAATTACAATTTTACATATTTAACATACTAACTTTTATTCTGTTAGAGCACCATGAAACCCTCAGCCTGTTGCTGTGTTTATGTTTAATGTTCTTTGTCTTGTTTACAACTTACACACTTGACTTGTAAACATCATTTGCATCTTTTATTTACTTTCATCCGTCCAGCTTGGTTGTCATTGTTATTAATATGTCTGTGTGAGTTCATAGTGAGACATGCAGAACAACAGAGTCTAGTCCCTCGTTCATGACGCACACTTTGACCAAATAACAGCTGACGACGCTCTGACTCTGAGTGGAATGTGACATCGGTCAGCTGAGGCTGCAGGTCGTCATGATGTCATGATGCTGTCGTCATGATGTCACGATGCTGTCGTCATGATGCTGCAGGTGTCAGTGAGGAGATAAAAGAACAAACCTGCACATCTGGTCTGAGTCACACATCTGTGTCACGATGCTGCAGCAGTGTCACATCAGACAGGCTTCTTCTTGTTTTGGATAAGAACTCCTTATTACAAATCAAGACCTTTTTCTCAACGAAGGAAATGTGTTCAAGATTCTGTCTCATATTATTATTATTAGTCCAGAAGTGTCTGATAAACCTTTAAACTCTGACACCTGTAGATCCATCACAGCCCCGTGATGTGGGTCACAGCCGGGTGTGTCACAGGTACCACCGATGTCACATGACCACATCCAGGTGTGATGTTGAGGCAGAGCACTGGGGAACGCTTCATCCCAGTGGTTCATCAAAAAGTAACTTGACATCATATAACCACCGTTGTATGATGGACTAGCATCTCCCTTTTGCTTCTTTTATTATCTCTTTGTGCTGCTCTCTAGTAGTTTGCCATTTGTTCACCATGAGCTCCTCTTTGAGCTCGTCACCCGTCAATCTGAGCCGCAGAGCAACGAGAACGCCCCGTCTGGAGACAACGTGTTGAGCAACAAGAACACTAAACGGGCGTTTATCTGTCTTTCTTATGATGCCGTCTGTCAGGAAGATAAAGAGAACAGAATCAAGCTCCGCCTCCTTTCTCTACAGTGACATCACACGCTTTTCTGAAAGGTTTTATAAAACTACAAGCGCACCAAAAATAACGGTGCAGCAGCGTTTTTTCTTGAGGCGGACAAAATAAAGATGCTGGCACTCAGAAACCCACTACTTGTACTTTACAGTACACACTTATAACAGATAACAGTACAGCAGATCTGTTGACCCATAAGAGATCCAGATCTGTAACTGGTCCACTAGGGTTCATCAAAGGGTCTTTAGCTTCCTTTAGTTCTTTGGTTATTTGTCTGGAGAACATCTGACACCTGCTTTCCATCAGCAAGTTAGAGTTAAAGCAGTTAAAGTTGATCTCAAGTTCAAACTGTAACGTACGGATTCATGCAGAGGAAGTGGACTTGAACTGTGTGATGGGAGTGAAGCAGACTTTACACAACTCTTCCTCTGAAGTCCTCTTCTATAATAAACACCTCCTGGTTCTGTAAGACTGAGAGACGTATCAAAGGAACTCTGTACAAGCCTTGATTTATTTTCCTCTCCAGCGGTGCGTGGGCAGGAAGCTGCAGGATTTAACCCCGAGAGGTCGTCCTGCTTTTAATTGGCTGAGAGCCGCAGAGGTGTGACTCATCCATCTGCGCTCCCAGCCAATCAATCGCTTCCCTTTCGATCCCACATTTGGCCGACCAGCTCTGGCAAGCTGACGCCGCCCCTGACGACGCACCGTGTGGAGAGAGCTGACGCGGACATGTTTGGGGAGGTTGTGTCCTCTGTAAACTCTCATCCGATCAGCTGAAGTGTGCTGACGTCACTCGGGCTCACCTGCTCCTCCGAAGGCTCCGCCGGTCTCCACGGTGCCGCTGAGCACATCTGAAACACAGAAGCACACTAGTGAGAGACTCACGCTGTTGTCGGGTCTCTGACCCATCAAGAGTGGACAGAAAGGTGTTCGTTCCTTTTTAACCCTTCCACGAGGACGTCAAACGCAGACGCAGCTTAATGAACATCTAGAGACGAGTGATTGTGTCGTGGTTAGATGATTAGAAAGTGTCTGTATTTATTGTAAATGAGATGTAGAATAAAATGTTTTTGAGGAATATCACTAGTTTTAAGCTTTGTTTTGGTTGCTTTTTCTGACAGAAGCATTTGTCACCTTTGATATGTTCAAAGACCGTCGGAAAGATAAAGATCTGAAGATAATGACGTGTTTTACATCTTCTGGCAGAATGAACGGTGTCGTGTTGGCGACTGTTTAAAGACAACATGCTTTCTAATCTCGCCGGCAGGTTTTGGGGTTCAGAGGACTAATATTTTCTGAAAGCAAAAACATGAATATAAAATATTAGCTTAGCTTTACCTGCACTGTTAAAAGTGCACAGAAAGCAGTGTGTTAGGTGTGCAGGTGAATGTCCTGTGACGTAGTTACCCGTCTGGTTTGAGGCGGAGCAGGACGACTGGGCGAGGCCTTTCAGTGTCGAGTTGTACGAGCTCTGAGTCATGCAGTCGATGGCGGCCTGGTCACATCCACAGAGACTCTGCTGACACCAATCACCAGCATCTCAGAGATCAAGAACAGAGCTTTCATTCATGTCCTTAAACAGTTCTGTCATCTAACGAACAACGACACGTTTAAAGACACTAGCACCACCGTTCTTACTTCTCAGACACAGTTCAGGTAAAATGAAGGAAATGCTCAAAGCCTTTAAAACTCCCGTCCACAAACTAATGCATGACGTCACGGCGATGACTACGTCCACTTTTTATAGAACAGAATTTGTTCCAAAAAACAAAGTGTAAAAACAAAAGTGTGGTTTTAAGGCGGTTAATGAGCCGGACTATTTCTTGGGTCGGGCTCAGCTGCTCCCTGACTCCTTGTTGCCAGACACCAGCTGATATATTTCCTGTACAAACACAAGAAAGCTCATAAGCGTGTTTCCCATAATGCCCCCTTTGAAGTGGAAGTCTCACCACAGCTGGTGTTTGCAGCTGAGCAGGTGAAGTCGTGGGGAAGAGGAGGCAGCTCCTGCCTGCAGGGGGCAGCGTTCTGATAACACGACCTGTGAGTCTCGCAGCAGCTGCAGAAAGAAGAAACGAGACACGACTTGTAAAGTTAGAGGTCTAAAAAAAGAAGGACGTCCTTCACCTTTAGTGTCGGAACAATCATTATCTAGGAATTCTTGTCGGTTGTGACCATTTGTTTCCTTTTAAATCGATCCAGTATTCACAAGAAGGAAAAAGAAAAGCCCAAAAAAAGTATTTAATTTAGCAGAAATATGATTTTTGTTCTTTCCAATCCTCTAATTTATCTGGAATATTTCATAATTTAGCAAACGTTTTGACATGGAAGTCTTCTTCAGGGTTATCTGGGGACCACATCTTTACTTTGTGAACTCCTGGTCGTCCCTTGAGGACTGCTGGGGTCCAGTCCCAGTGTCCCCCCTTCAGGCCTTAAACCCTGAACCCTCAGGGACTTACTGACGTCCTCTCTGTTTACCTTTTCTTACGTCTCTGGCTTCCACCGGTAACCCCGGTTTTAACGGCACATCGCTATGAATTGTGGGTAATTCCCTCTGACAAAGTCTGCAAAAAAGCAGACTTAGGTCATGTGTTCATAAAGGGCTCAACATATCTGCGAGTGTCTGTGAGTGTGGAGGTTGGGGTCGGGCGTTGGTCCACAGGGATAACCGGTAAACCGTGTACTCCCTCGCCTCATTGGATGAATGAAAGATCTCATGGTGGGTTTGGTTTATCAGAACCAATCAGACGCTCCAGTGTTCTTTAAATCCTCCCTGTTCACACTCACGGACTTTGAGGCTTGTTCCCCATGAAGCGTGTGAGGGTTTAGTTCTGTCTCACTGTCACATCCTTCAGTCAGACAGAGAGACATGTTGAGCCCTTTATTCAACCCTCTCCGTAAATCCGCATTTCTGCAGACTTTGCCGACAATTACCCACAATTCATAGTGTTGTGATGTGAAACATGGGGGTGAATATTAAATGTACACAGAAACATTAAAGGTTAAAGATGGAACATAAAAACAAGTGAAATCAGAGGAATGTACAAAGAGAGTAATTATTACACAGCTGCGTTATTCATGAACTGTTTGTTATTGAAGCCGATTTGACAAAAACACGTAAATAGATCATCTGACAAACACCTGCCTGGAAGTCGTTCAAATCAGAGAGTAAAGCATATCAAATAAATACCCACAAGTGTGCATGACGTTGACATGTTGACGTGATAGGTTGCAGCAAAGTGCTGTCACATTCTACCAGGTGAAGTCAGTTAGGGTTTAAAGGCTCTATGGGGGGGATTGGGCCTTACTCACATGTCCAGAGGATCCACAGGGTTTCCAGAGGCCACGTATCTGCAGGAGCAGCCGTAGTCTTCCAGGTCGCGTGGACAAAGCCCCGTCGCACAGCGGAGCTTCAGAGCAAACGTCAGCAGCGAGGGGAAGTTATCGAAGAGCGAGTGGAGCCAAGTGAAGCGCAGGCCGAGACAATCTGCACGAGGAGACGGGAAACAGGAAGAGACAACAGGGAGGATGTGAGGGGGGGGGGGGCTTCAATTCCTTCCATCTCGTAGGTGGAGAGCAGAAGGATTTAATCATAGATAATCCTGTCGGCAGGTAACCGGAGTCCAGAGAAGCACGCGGGGCAGAAAATGATTGAGGCCACATGCTCTGCACATGCCCGCCGAACCCACGGTGCTGATCAGGACTACAGGTGTCCCAGAACACCACAGCAGTGAGTCACCTCGATGTCAACATCATCAGAAAATATCACAAAAATAACAGGCGGGGTTGCAGCAGCTGGACGTTTGTTGGGGAAACAAGATGTCAGTCTGCACAATTACCGTCTGAGCCGGAAGAGAAGATGCTGCCGAAACACTGACCAAAAAAAACTATGTTAATGTATGAAGACTCAGATATTATGTTGGAATGTACTTTGGATTTGCTAGAATTGCTCCAAAAGCCAAAAGAAGATGAACCGTCTCTGAGTTTTCCTGTGAAACCAATCATACATTTCTACCTGTGAGGCTTCAGTGATACTAAATCTAAATCAATGTCTCATCAAACACCTCTAGAGACTTGAAGAGTGGACAACAAAGACAACCGGCTGCATCATGGAGAGAGATTACGCAACAGTCTCACGAAATGCAATCTATTGGTTTTGTGTACAAGGACACGATCAGGACGACATGAAACCAACAAAACCAACAAAAAAGTTAGGGTTAGACAACAACACCAACAGTTAGGGTTAGACAACAACGCCAACAGTTAGGGTTAGACAA